GCGGGGCCACACTCAGCCAATCAGGGGATACATGATGTCTTCTCCTTTCCTTGGGCCTAAGACCCTGCCCCCTGGAGATGACCCCATGACTCAGAGGCAGCTTGTATGGAAAATTTCTGGAACAGGTCCTTCCACAGTGAGCCCTCCAACTTCAGGAGGACACCCTTCCCATCACTTGCCCACCAGGAAGAGGTGACCCCCAGTGGGACACTGGCTGTACACTTGGCAAAAACCCAGGAGTCCCAGGGCTGGACTGCAGCACCATCAGCCGCTGGCCGCAGCTAGTCTAGAGATAATCTCGGGGAAACAGCGCCGCACCCCACTTGGCTTAAAGAGCACCAATGGGATGGCCCACAGATTAATATGGTTGGTCCCATTCAGGGCCATGGGTTTGGTGCAATCCTATAAAATCTGCAGCCCAACCCCATGGGCTGAATTGTACATCCCTCTCCAAGATTGGAGAGCCCCCACAAGAACCTCTTGGCATCCTGGAGCCCTTGTGATCCCCTCATGTGGTCTGGCCATTCTAGAGGCCTGACCTGAGCACTGAGTCTTAGTGGGGCACTGCCCTGCATGGGGCTGAGGAAACCTTTTACTGCCTGGACCACTGCCACCTCTGCAGGGCTTCAGGGAAGGTATCCTCCTTGGGTCTGATTCGCAAGGAAGCCTCTCTCCTGGAAACCCATCCCAGTGGGGTTTCAGGTCAGCTCCCGAGGAAACCCTTGTGGCTGAAGGGGGACCCTCAGCAAACCCACACAGCCTGGCTCATGCCCCATGACCCCAGCAGGATCCACTCACCTGTGCTGGTTAATGTCATGGGCTCTGCTGGGCAGAAGAGCTCACTGAAAGACACAGGGGAGAATGGGGGCTCAGGAAAGAGCTGTGAAAGTGCCCTACCCCGGGAAATGGGGATACCAACACCAAGCCCACATAGTGACCCTCGGCTGCCTGATGGAGGAGCACAGACAGGGTTGGGCCCCCTCCAGATGCCCTTCAGAGCCTCCAGATCTCAAGCCCAAAATACAGTGGTCCTGCCAGGGAACTCCTAATTCCCAGCATCCTCTTCAAAATTCTCAACTAGGCTGGGCCTCAGCGTAATCCTATTGAGCATGATTTTTAAGTCATCACTTCTCTTCAAGACATGTAAGTTTCTCATCATTGACCCAACCCAGGGCACCCCTCCCCACACACACAGCCAGTGGGATCCGGATGTGCTCACCAAGCTCAATGCAGGAGACCAGGATGCCAGGAGGGCCCCAGCTTCAGCTCATCGGACGCTGGACACCTGGCTGACGGCCACTGGCCTGGGGCCAGCAGGCTCAAAGCAAAACTTCCTAATGGGCTCACCATCTGGAGGGAGTGGAGACAGGCAGATGTTTACACAGGTCCTCATGCCTCCATGTGGGAAAGCAGGGAGGGGTGCTGGCTCACACATGCTCTCCCTTCATGGGCCCATGTGATGGAATCTATATGAAATGATGACGGTCATGGACCCAGGGAACCCTTGGCCCTCACCAACCACCGAACCCTGGAAGGACAGGGTAGGTGGGTCACTGGGCACGGGCAAGATGCCAAGGCTATGTGCTACTGCAGGCCCCTGGAGCACGTCTACTGCCCATGCTGGCTCCACTGCACAACCCTGGACCACAACAGAAATCGTGGGCAGGAACAGAGGCCACCAACCAGCTTATGGCCAATGAAAGAGTCTGACCCTGATGCCAGGTGCTGCTGCCACCCTGGCTGTCACACAGCCTTCCCCCGTACATCAGCCTAGGCTCCCTCCCCAAGCCACACCATAAATCACAGCCTGGGGCCCAGGGCCACCTGCTTTCTCTGGTGGGTCCTCATCCACACCCCAGACACCTATCAAACACAGAGCTGGGCTACACTCAGACAATCAGGAGCCACATGGTGCCCTCTCCTTTTCTTGGGCCCAACATTCTGCCACCCTGGAGGTGACCCCATGGCTCAGAAGCTGCCTGGGCAACAAATTCCCGAGACAGATCCCTCATGAAGGGGCCTTCCAACCTCAGGATTCCACCCTTCCTGCCACTGGCCTCAAAGAAGGGATGACCCCCAGCGGCAGGTGGGCTGCACCCTTGCCCAAAGTCCATGAGTCCCAGGGCCGGCCTGGGCACCACGAAGCACCAGCCCTGACTCAGCTTTGACCCGACTAGCTAAAGCTGCGCTGCCACCCACCAGCCTCAAGAAGGCACCACTGGGATGGCCCACTGCTCAACAGGGTCGGTCCCATTCAGGGCCACGAGTGGCATGCAATCCTTGAATCTCCACAGCCCGACCCCATGGACCTGATCGCCCATCCCTCTCAAGGATGGAGAGCCCCTCTGTTCCCCGTGGGACCCCAAAGCCCCTGTTGTCCCACTCGTTTTTCCTGAGCAGTCCTCAAGGATAGACGTGCACACCATGTCTCAGCTAGGAGTTGCCCTGAGTGAGACTGAGGAGACCCTTTCCAGCTTGGTCCACGGTCACCCCTCCAGGGCAGGGCTTCAGGGAATGCGTTCTCGTTGGGTCAGATTCTCAAGGAGGCCAACCCATCCCTCTACAGTGGGGATTCAGATCAACTCCCCGAGGAAACCCTCCTGTCCTTAAGTCTGATATTTGGTGACCCCACGCTGCCTGGCTCATGACACATGACTCCAACAAGATCCACTCAGCTACGCAGGTCAATGCCAGGAGTTTTGCTGGGCAGAAGAGCTCACTGAAAGATATAGGGGAGAATGGGGCTCAGGAAGAAGTTGCTAATGTGCCCTGTCCCCGAGTAATGGCAGTGAGGACACCAAGCCCAGATAGTGAGTCTGGGTTGCCTCACGAAGGAGCAAAGACAGGCATGGGCACCCTCGAGATGCCCTTCAGAGCCTCCAGGTCTCTAGTCCAAAATACAGTGGCCCTGCAGGGAAACTCTTAATTCCCAGCATCCTCTTCCTAAATTCTCCCCTAGGTTGGGCCTCAGCGTAATCCTATTGAGCGTGATTTTTAAATCATCACCTCTCTTCAGGACAATATAAGGTTCTCATCATTGACCCTACCCAGGGTACCCCCCCCAACCCACAGGCATGGATCCAGTGGGAATCAGATGTGCTCACCACAGCTTAGCAGGAAACCCGGGTGCCAGGAAAGGCCTGAGCTTTGGCTCACCAGGGTCTGAGCACCTGGCTCAGGGACACTGCCCAAGGCCAGCGGGCCAGATGCAAATCTCCCTCCAGGGTCACCATCTGGAGCAGTGTGGGACTGGTATGCAAAGAGGGCCTCATGCCTCCATGCAGGAAAGTGAGCCTGGGTGCTGGCTCACACATGCTCTCTTTTCATGGACTCATGAATGGGATCCATGTAAAACAGTGATGGTCATGAATGCGGGGAACCCTTGGCCTTCCCTGCGACTGAACCCTGGAAGGATAGGGCAGGCAGATCACAGAATTTGGGAAAGACACCCTGGCTGCACTCTACTGCAGGCCTCTGGAGCACCTCCACTGACCACGCCAGCACCACCGCACGACTCTGGGTCACACTGGCACCACTGGAGCCAGGGCCACCAACCAGCTCACGGCAAATCAAAGAGGCTGGCCTGGATGCCATGTGTCACTGCAGACCTGGCAGTCACATGAATGCACCCGTCCTGGTACTCTCTACAAGCTCACAACAGAAATCGCATCATAGGGCTCCAGGACCACATGCCTTCTCTGGTGGGTCCCAATTTATGTACTGCACACCTCCCAAACACAGCGCTAGGCCATGCTCAGCCAATCAGGGACCATATGACGTCCTTTCCTTTCTTTTGGCTCAAGATCCCACCACCTTGGAGGTGACCCCATGGGTCAGAAACAGCCTGGGTAGCAAATTGCCAGCCAAGGACCCTTGACAGTGAGTCTTCCACCACAGGATGCCACCCTTCTGGCCACTCCACTTTGGAGGGATGACCTCCAGTGGAACACAGGCTGCACCCTTGGCCCAAAATCCATGATTCCCAGGGCCAACCACCAGGTGACTGCCAGAATGTAACGTTGACCCAACACCACTGAGGCCACGCCGCCCCCACCGAGGCCACGCCGCCCCCACCATGCTCAAGGAGGGACCACTGGGATGGCCTATTGCTCGACAGGGTCGGTCCCACTGAGGGCCATGAGTGGTGCCCAATCCTTGAATCTTCACAGCCTGACTCCATAGCCCAATCACCCACACCCTGCCCCCTCTGCAAGCCTCATGGATGGAGAGCTCTCGCATAATACTCATAAGCCCAGAGACTCTGTAGACCACCTCACTTGGCCTGGAAAGTCCTCCAGGCCTGACCCATGCACCAAGTCTCAGCTAGGAGCTGCAATGTGTTACGGTGAAGGAATCCTTTCCTGCCAGGACCTCCGTTACTCCGGCAGGGCTTCAGAGAAGTGTCCTTCTTGGGATCAATTTCCAATGAAGCCGCCCTCCTGGAGAAACCATCTGTCCCTAGAGAGGATTCATGTTGGCTCCGTGAGGAAACCCTTGTGGCCTGTAGGGTGATCCTGAGTGACCCCCAGTGGCTTGGGTCATGGCCCATGACCCCAGCAACATCCACTAACCTATACTGCTCAAGGCCAGGAGCCCGCCTGGGCAAAAGAGCTCACTGAAAGACACAGCGAAGAATGGGGCTCAGGGAGGAGCTGCCAACCTGCCCCGCCGCCCAGGGAACCGGAGAGCCAACACCAAGCCTGCACATGGAGACTGGGCTGCCCCACGGAGGAACACAGAGATAGGGTTGGGCACCCCACAGATGCCTTTCAGGGCCTCAACGACTCCAGCCCAAAATACAGTGGCCCTGCCAGGGGACCTCGGGATCCCAGCATCCTCTTTCAAAATTCTCCCCTAGGCTGGGTCTCAGCGTAATCCTATTGAGCATGATTTTTAAGTCATCATCTCTCTTCAGGAAAGTATAAGGTTCTCATCAGTGACCCAACTCAGGGTACTCCCCTCCCTGAGCCATGTATCCAGCAGGACCTGGATGTGCTCACCACAGCTCAGTGCAGGAGACCTGAGCACCAGGAAAGGTCTGAACTTCAGCACACGAAGGGTTGGGCACCTGACTGATGACCACTCAACCAGAGCCAGTGGGCCCAACAACAGTCTTCCTCCAGTCTCACCATCTAGGGACAGAAGGTGGACATGTGTCAAAATGGAACCTCATACTTCTATGTGGGGAAGAGGGTTGAGGTGGGGGGGGTGGTGCCAGCTCATGCTTGCTCTCCCACTGTGGACCCATGTGATGGGATCCACGTGAAATTCTGACATATCATGGACACGGGGGAACCTTGGCCATTCCCACCACTGAAACCTGGAAGGACAGGACAGGCAGGTCACTGGGCTTGGGCAAGATGCCCTGGCTGTGCCCTACTGCAGACACTTGAGCACCTCCACTGCCCACGCCAGCTGCCTCCCACTACACCAGGACTGTACCAGCACCCGGGGTGCAGGCCAGAGCCACCTATAATCTCATGGCCAACTAAGGAGGCTGGTCCGAATGCCAGGCGCTGCCAATCTGGCAGTCGCAAACCCTGCCCCGTGTGTGGAGGGTAAGCACCCAGGTCCCGCTCCACAACACACCAGAAATCACAGCCTGGGGCCCCAGGGCCTTGTGGATTCTCTGGTGGGTCCCATCCATGCCCCATTCAATATCTCCCACAGAGTGGGCCACATTCAGCCAATCAAGGAATGCATGATGTCTTCTCCTTTCCCTGGGCCAAGACCCCGACCCCCTGGAGATGATCCCATGGCTCAGAGGCAGCCTGGACGGAAAATAGCCCAGACAGGTCCTTACACAGTGGGCCTTCCCACCTCAGGAGGACACCCTTCCCTCCAATTACCCACAAGAAAGAGGTGACCCCCAGTGGGAAATGGGCTACTCCCTTGACCCAAAGCCCACTAGTCCCAGGGCTGCACTACAGCACCATCGGGCACTGGCCAGAGTTAGTCTAGAGGCAATCTCAGGAAAACAGAGCCACCCTCCCACCCTCCCACTTGACTCAAACAGGCACCACTGGGATGGCCCATTGCTTAATAGGGTCAGTACCACTCAGGGACGTGGGTTTGGTGCGATGCTTGAAAATCCATTGCCTGACCCTATGGGCTGAATTGCACATACCTCTCCAAGGTCAAAGACCCTCACAAGACTCCCTTGGTGCCCTGGGGCCCATGTGGACCCCTCATGCAGCCTGGCCGTCCTAGAGGCCTGACCCAAGCATTGAGTCTTAGCAGGGCGCAGCCCTGCATGGGGCTGAAAAAACCCTTTACTGCCTGGACCACCACCACCCCTGCAGGGCTTTAGGGAAGGTCTCGTCCTTGGGTCTGATTCCCAAGTAAGCCTCTATCGTGAAGAACCCAACCCAAGTAGAGATTTAGGTCACCTCATGAAGAATCCCTTGTGGCTGAAAGGGTGACCCTTGGCGAACCCATACAGCCTGGCTCATGGCCCATGACCCCAGCAGGATCCACTCACCTATGCTGGTCAATGCCAGGGGCTCTGCTGGGCGGAGAGCTCACTGAAAGACACAGGGGACAACAGGGGCTCAGCAAGGAGCCACCAAAGTGAGCCTGGGCTGCCTCACGGAGGAGCACAGAGACAGGGTTGGGCCCCTCCAGATGCCCTTCAGAGCTTGCAGGTCTCAAGCCCAAAATACAGTGCTTCTGCTGGGGAACTCCCAATTCCCAGCATCCTCTTCAAAATTCTCACCTAGGTTGGGCCTCAGCAGGCCTGAGCATGATTTTTGTCATCACCTCTCTTCAAAACAATATAAGGTTATCATCGACCCAACCCAGGGCACCCCCTTCCTGCACATGCACCCAGCAGGACCTGGATGCGCTCACCACAGCTCAATGCAGAAGACCAGGGCATCAAGAAGAGCATGAGCTTCGGTGCACCAAGGGCTGGGCACCTGGCTGACGCTCTCTGGCCTGGGGCCACTGGGTTCAATACAAGTCTTCCTTGGGGCTCAACATCTGGGGAAAGAGGATTAGGACAGGGGTCCAAACACAACCTCACACCTCCATGGAGGCGGAGGGGGGTGTGGTGGCTCAGGGACACTCGCCTTCCATGGGCCCATGTGATAAAATCCATGCGGAACACTGGCCTGTCACGGACGCAGTGTACCCTGTGCGCTCTGAGCCACTGAATAATGAAGGCCCAGGGAAGGCAGGTCACTGGGCTCAGGCAAGAAGCCCCAGGTATGCCTTACTGCAGGCCCCACGGGCACCTCCACTGCCCACGCCACCTCCTCTGCATGACACCCGGGTCACGCCAGGTCTACTAGGCACAGGCCAAGGCCACCGACCAGCTCATGGCCAACCAAGCAGGCTGGATCGGATGCCAGATGCTGCTGCAAAGCTGGCAGTCACATAGCCTGTCCCTGTTCACTGTGGGTACTCACCGAGGTGCCATATCCCAGCACATCCTGGAAATCACAACCTGGGGTCTCAGGGCCACATGCTTTTTCTGGTGGGTCCACATCCATGCCCCACACACTTCTGACACAGAGCAGGGCCACACTCAGCTAACCGGGAACACACGGTAACTTCTCTTTGGGCCCAAGACCCGCTACCCTGGAGGTGACCCCACGGCTCAGAAGCAGCATGGGTGGCATATTCGAGAGACAAGACCCTCGAGAGCAGCCAGCCCTTCCACCTCAGGAGGCCACCCTTCCTGACACTCACCCTTGGGGAAGGGGTGACTTCCAGCCACAGGAAAGGGGAGATCCTCAACAGGACATGGGCTGTTGGACTAAAGCTAAAGAATCTATGTCCAGATAGCAACACCAGGCACTGGCCGGAGCTGAGTCTTGACCCAAACCTAGGGAAACAGCACCACCAACTCCAGGCTCAAAGAGGCGCCACGGGATGGCACATTGCTCAACAGGGTCAGTCCCACTTAGGGCAATAAGTCCTGTGCAATCCTTGAATCTCTGCAGCTTGACTCCATGGGTCCTATGCCCACCTTCCTCCGGGGATGGAGAGCTCCTTTGTGACCCCATGGAGTCCCGCAGCCCCTATGGCCACCTTCATGTGGCCTGGTCAGTCCTAGAGGCCAGACCAGCACACCTAGAATCAGCTGGGGGCTGCCCTGCATGAGATGGAAGGAACCTTTTCCTGACTGGACCACCGTCATCCCTGCAGGGCTCCAGGGAAGGTGCCCTGGGTTCCGATTCCCCAGGAAGCTGCCCTCCTGGAGGACCAACGCTCCCTCCACAGTACAGATTCTGGTAGGCTGCCTGAGGAAACCCTCCTGTCCCATGACCTGCAGGACCACTCACCTATGCTGGTCAATGTCAGGGGGCCCCATCTGGGTGGAAGAGCTCACTGAAAGACACAAGGGGAGAATGGGGGCTCATGGAACCAGAGCACCGACACCAAGCCCGCACAGGCAGTCTGGGCTGCTTCACGGAGGAGCTCAGAGACAAAGCTGCCCCCACCCCCGCCCCGGGAACCGAGATGCCGTTCAGGGCCTCAAGGTCTCTAGCCAAAAACACAGTGTCTCTGCCAGGAGACCTTGGGATCCCAGCGTCCTCTTCCAGAATTCTCCCTTAGGCTGGGCCTCAGCGTAATCCTATTGAGCATGATTTTTAAGTCATCACCTCTCTTCAGGACAATATAAGGTTCTCATCATCGACCAAACCCAAAGTACCTCCAACCCCACACAAGCATCCAGAGGGACCCAGATGTGCTCATCACAGCTCAGTGCAGGAGACCAGGGCACCAGGAATGGCCTCAGCTTCAGTGCACCAAGGGCTGGGCACCTGGATGATGACCACTGACCTGGGGACAGCCCCAAGGCAAGTCTTCCTCCAGGGTCACTATCTGGGGCGACAGAAGGAGGACATGTGTCCAACCAAGGGCTCAGGCCTCCATACGGGGAAGGGGGTAGGGGTGTCAGCTCATGCCTGCTCTCTTTCTCTGTGGACCCATGTGATGGCATCCATGTGAAACCCTGATGTGTCACGGATGGGGGTCCTTTTGCCCTCCTAGACACCAAATCCTGGAAGGACAGGGAAGGCAGGCTACTGGGCTCAGGCAAGATGCCCAGGCTGAGCCCTACTGCAGGGCCCTGGAGCACCTCCACTGCCCACGCCAGCTTCCCTGCACTTCCCAGGTCAGATCGCAACCCCTGGCCAGGAGCCAGGGTAACCAACCAGTGCAGACCAACCGAAGAGGCTGGCCCTGAAGCCAGGTGCTGCTGTAGACCCAGCAGACACACAGCCTGCCCCTGTGCAAGGAGGGTGTCCAGGCTCCCTCTCTAAGCACACACCAGAAATTGCAGCCTGGGGATGCCCTCACTTAGCCTTGGCAGTCCTCCAGGCCAGACTCTAGCACCAAGCCTTAGCTGGGAGATGTCCTGTGTGGGGCTGAAGAAACCCTGTCCTGCCTGGACCACGGTCACCCCTGAAGGGCTTCAGGGAAGGTGTCCTCCCTGGGTCAGATTCCCAAAGAGACGGCCCTGCTGGAGAACCAATCCCTCCCCGGTGGGGATTCAGGTTTTCTCCCTGAGGAAACCCTCCTGTCCTGAAGACTGACCCTCAGTGATCCCATGTGGCCTGGCTCATGGCCCATGACCCCAGCAGAATCCACTCACCTATGCTGCTCAAGGCCAGGGGCCCTCCTGGGCAGAAGAGCTCACTGAAAGACACAAGTGGAGAACAGGGGCTCAGGAAGGAGCCATCCTCGTGCCCCACCCCGGCAAACTGGAGCACTGACACCAAGCCTGCACAGGGAGCCTGGGGACCCTCACAAAGGGGCTCAGAGACAGGGCTGAGATCCCTACAGATGCCCTTCAGGGCCTCCAGGTATCCAACCCAAAATACAGTGGCCTTTCTGGGGACCTCTGGATCCCAGAATCTTCTTCCAAAATTCACACCTAGGCTGGGCCTCAGCGTAATCCTATTGAGCATGATTTTTAAGTCATCACCTCTCTTCAGAGAAATAGCAGGCTCTCATCATCGACCCAACCCAGGGTATCCCTTCCCTGCTTAGGCATCCATCAGGACCCGGATGGGCTCACCCAAGCTCAATGAGGAGATCAGGGTGACAGGAAGGACCCAAGTTTCAGT